ACAGGAAAGTATTAGCTACCTACCAAAATGCCACAAACCGACCAGTCTAGCATTGACCTATGTTCCCTCATGTGACCAAGCCTGACCAATTACTATAGTCCTCCAGGAGGAGGAAATTTCTGGAAAACAAATCAAGATGGAATGTGGCGACCAAAACTATGAAAAAAGCCTCCAAGGAGAAGAGTTTTATGCTTGCCCAGCAAATGGGCCCAGTCACTGCCAAGGGGAAGGTGAATATAAGTGCGCCTCCTGGGGTTGTGAAACAGAATCAACCTAGGCGGGGAATAAAGACCCCCACATTAAGATAAGAAGGATGATGTCACCTAACCTTTGTAGGGTGGGAACATGCAACCCTGGATAACCATTATAACCTGGAATGAAGTAGCAGCAAAGGATTGGCTTACTGGCCAGACCTGGGGATTTAGACTCTGGAGAAGAGGTCACCACCCAGGTATAGAGTTCACTATTCAAAGAAAGCTACCCCCTCACCAGGCCAATCCCATAGGCCCAGGGAAGAACTGGCTACCCCATCCTAGAGCCCAACCCACTCTATCTCCAAGGGTACATCTAGCCACTGCCCTATGAGGGGTGGAGTCCCCTGCCCTTACTCCTGGGAGTTTTACTCCCAGAGGCCCCCTTGATGTCAACCCTGAGTTCAGCCTGATAGAATTAATGCATAATTGGCTAAATCAGACTGTCCCTAATATAGGGAAGGACTCCTGGCTCTGCCTAGATCCCAGACCTCCCTTCTATGTGGGGATAGGGCCAATCTATCTATCTCCTCAACTACTACCCCACCTACAGGCATGGATTGTGAGTCCCAACAAACCCAACTCATCCTCAGGGACTTATAGGGAGAGGACACATGCCTAGCATCCTCTAACTGTGACCTCCCAAGCTCCCATTACAATTCAGCATGTAGCTCTCCCAGACGAATGGTGACATCTAATAGTACCAGAGTTTACTACCCTGTCATCTGGAACCTGGTGGGCCTGTACCTTAGGGCTTACCAGGTGTTACTGTGGAACACCTGGAAGGGGCATCCAGGTCTGGTGAACTTTGTGTCTGGTAATGCATCCATATAATTCCCCAGGTATATATCTACAGTGGGGATGATGGAAGGGAACATTTCCAGATCAATACAGCTCTGAACAGAGTGAAAAGAGAAATAACCTCTATTGTGGTTCCTCTCCCGTAGGAGCTGGCATCTCTGGGTCGGCAGCTCTGGGAGCCTCAGCCTTAGCCACTGAAGATCAAAATTTCAAACTCCTGGCTGCCATATTAGATCAGGACCTCTATCACCTCTGGGACTCCATAGGCCAACTGGGGAGACAAAAGGACTCTTTAGCCAAAATGGTGCTACCGAATAGGAGAGGGCTGGGTCTGCTATTTTCAAGAGAAGGAGGCCTTTGCATGGCTCTCGGAGAAAAACGTTGCTTCTGTGCTAACAACTCAGGGGTAATAAGAGAAACCTTAGCATTAGTAAAACAAACATTGATCAAAGAGCAAAAGAATGAGCTGAATCTTCCAATTGGTACGAGTCCTTATTTTCCTGGACTCCCTGGTTGACCACAGTTCTAACTGCCATAGCTGGTCTCCTCCTTGGAGTGTTACTCCTCAGAGTGACCATAGGTCCTTGCCTTTTAAACTGGTTAATGTCATACATCTGTCAAAGGCTCAGCTCAATTAAAATACTGGCTCTACAGACCAGGCACCAGCTCATACACTAGGAAGATCAGGATGAATCAATGATTTGATCCATCTGATCCAGAGCCAGTGGGGAATGTGCTAGCCAAAGAAACTCCATTTGAAAATCTCCGCCATCTTAAGGAAGTTGCCCTAGGTTAAACTCTCCCCTACCCCAAGTTCTTATAAGTAACCCAGTTCTGGCCTTCCTTGTACAACTACAGAAGAACAAAAGCAGGTTTCGCTAGGCCCTCATCTAATGTCTCTAACTGCTCATTCTGGCTGCTGTAATACACTTGCTTATCACTGTGCCCCAGAAGGAAATGGTTTTCGAACTCCTTGCAAGGTAGGGGGGGTGGTCCACAGAGTGATGTGGCCACTCAGAGGCTGTAATTGTTTTTCTTGTGCCCCTGCTTGTTTGTTCAGAAATTGGGGAATGTCCTGTTTACCTGACCTTTAAACAATGTATCGAAACTGTGACCCCCAAATAAGTCCCTCTACCTCCAACCCTGCAATTGTGTAACTGTAGTGATTAATCATGCCCCTAATCGATACCCCCACTGGCAAGTCCCCTTTGCAGTTTTTTGCTTTAGAAGGTAGCCTCCCCACTCCCTCCGGGCTGCAGTCCTCACTCCTGAGCTGAGGGCTGTAGTCCGACCTGGTGTCTGGTGGTCTTTTTCCAGTGGTCCCGAACATTACGTGCTGCTTCCATTCAAAACTGATTTTTCCATTCCTCTCTGGTCTGGTAATTCTGCATGCTGCTGAATCCTGAACCTTCCTGGCTGCATTAAGCATCTGGGACTGATAAACCCACAAGGGAAAGAAGGACTTGAAATCCTGGAACCCTGTCTGTATTCCATCCTCAGACCCCCTGAAACACAGGTGGCGAAAGTGCTTGGCTAGGCACTTGGTGCAAGCAGCCTGGGGGAGAGGGGAGTAGGGTAGAGAAATGGCTCCAATTTATTGCCCTGCTGAAGAGTTCCAGCAGGAGATGAACCTCCATTCTAGGTGAGTGGAGGGAACAGGAGTAGGAGAAGGGCCAGATTTCTGGGTAGTCTCCTTTCCATGCAAGAATGTGTTGGCTCAAGGGTAGTTTGGGCTTTGGCAGTCCAAGTGGAAAGTTAGCTTTAGCATTGGCTTCCAATCTCTCTTTTATACCCTCCCCCCTTAATCCCAGATTACATTTAAACCTGTTAGGTGAAAAGATGTCCTGTTTACACTTTCCCTTATCTCTACACCCCATCACCGGTTTCCTCTACCAGCCTGCAGACAGAGTAATCTTGGAGCCCAGAAAGTGAAGGGTCTGACCACAGAGGGCAACCAAGGGCACAGCAAAGGCAGTTTAGGCCCTCCTAACCTTGGAGATTTCTGAAGCAGGGCAGGATTGGTCTCTTAACTCTTGGCCCTTTGAGAATTCATGCTTTCTTTTCCTTCCTTCCTTCCTTCCTTCCTTCCTTCCTTCCTTCCTTCTTTGTCTTTTTGAGACAGGGTCTCCCTGTAGCCCCAGCTGTCCTGGAACTCACTATGTAGACCAGGCTGGCCTCAAACTCACAGAGCTCTCCCTGCCTCTGCCTCCCGAGTGCTGGGGTGAAAGGCATGAGCTACTACCCCTGGCGAGAATTCATGCTTTCTATCACTAATCCTGCCAATCAATTAAAATTCTCCAGAACTTGGTGGTGACCTGATAGTTTCCCAAGAGAAATCAGAAAACAAATCTATTTCTGCTTTTGCTAAAGTTGCTGAAACCACTCTATTTCTCAGAGGAATCTGAACCAGCCAAGGAGGCTGAGTCCAAGGGAAACTACAATGACCTTTTCCTGATCATACAGAGTGAGTGAAGGGGCTGCCTGGTACCTGGTCCACTCTACTTCAAGGACTTTGTCCACTGCCTACAAGGTAGCTTTGGGGAGCCAGCCAGATTGCAGTCTGAGGACTGCACGGGAACAGGCCTTTATCAGTGGAGGAATATCCCAGACACCAATCTCCAGGGAGGGGGACATCAGGGACTTTGGCTACTGGTAATGACAGGCTTGCTTATCACCTCCGGGTACAACCTAGTCCATTCTTGTCTATACTTCCAGGGTTCTTTCTGGGACAGTGAGGGTCTAGCACCTTGCCTTGGAACTGGGTCCTCCTGGGCTTGACTTGCTCTTCCCTCTTCCATTCTGTACTGGAACTAATGATACACTTCAGAGCCCAGCGCATATGCTTTTCTTCATGACAGACCTTCAGATATTGAAAGCAAGAACTCTTGTCTCCTCTAGGTGGGCATTCAGCCAGGTAAATCATTCCAGTTCTAGATAAAAGAGTATCACTTGGATACTAGAGAAGACCTGCCTTCCCTGGGTCAGGTCACTGCAAGATGCCTGTTGTGGACTCAGAAGTGGGAGCCCTGAGGAGTTGCCTGAACCAAGTTTCCCTCTGATCTTGAGGTTGGTGCAGGTGTGGCCATGCTGCTGGAGCCAGGCTTTGGATGGACGGCCCCGGCCGCTGCCCACTGAGGCTTCAGATATTCCCCTATCTCCGGTGTCTTTTCCATGGAGAGAGAGAGAGAGAGGCCCCTTGCTGTCTGAGGCAACTTGTGGTGCCAGCCTCATCAGAATAGCAGTGCTAATTTTAGTCAGAACAATCTACCTCAGGCTGCTGCCCAGTTTTGCAAATTGCTTTCTTTTCTCTAGGGAACCAAAGAAGAAATGGTATCACCAACCAGAGCTTTGAAAACTGGCTCAGATGCCCACCCTACTCCAAAATGATCCCTTTCTCCTCTCTCTCCTGGGAGCTCCAGGGCTGACACTGATGCATTTGAAGGAGTGGCTCCCTGGCCTGGACCACTGAAACCTGACCTCTCAATGACCTGGAGATTCCATCCTGACTTGGGGCATGACATATCCCAGGTGCCCCAGAGCCCCAAAGAGGAAAGGATAGAGAGGATAGCACAATAGAGCCTAGGAGATGGAATAGCTTTCCACTTCCCTCCCCCTCCCCCTGCACCAGGTTCCTCCAATCTCCTGTCATCCACCCTCACTTCATCCCAGCCTCTGAATTCCCTTCATTCTCTCTCCCTCAATACCTGCCCCTACCCTGCCCCACATTCCCCCAATTTCATTCTGATCTCTCCCAGGGACCTGGTCACCATAGGAGATAGGCCAGATTTGCCCTCTGGCCAGTTCCTCTACCACTCACTGAGGGGTGCCACCTCCTCAAGCTCTCCAGGCACTAGGCCCCCAAGATATCCTCCATGATTGCCTTGTCCCCCATCCCCTAGTGGTCACCCTCATCTCCCCCAGCCCCAGGCTGGCCACTCCAGGACTCACTGCGTGCGCGCTGGCTCTGCCTCCGGCTCTAATCGAGGGTTGCCCTCCGCTCCCTCTGGTCCCTTATCCTCAAATCCTCGCCCTGTCTGAGGGTACCAGGGGCCCAGAGCACAGAATGCAGGTCGCTTGCCTCGCTGCGCCTGGATGGGATCAGGTGGCAGCGGCTGCTCAGCTCGGCTCCTCTCGCTCTGCCGGCTGCCCGTCCCCCATCTCACACCGGGGGCGGGGCGGGGGCGGGGGCCTGGTGGCTCAGGGGAGGGGGAGAAGAGCAGCAGCGCGAAGGAAAGGAGGACCCCGAGGCTTGCTGGTTGCCGGTGAGTATACTCTGGTGGCATCTTTGCATGCGGGCACCTCCCCCCTGCAACCTTGCAGAGAGCTCAGCACCAATGTGCCCAGCGCCCTTGCCTCCTTCATCAGAAGGGGGAAACCGAGGCTTCGAAAGTGTGCACTCCAATGTTACTGGACCCCTTTGGTCATCGTTTGCCTCTTGAAGTCGGGTTAGAGGCTCAGGTACACTGTACACTTCCAGGTCCCTGTCTGGTCCCATCTGCCCTCACCACCTTCCCTGTTGGCCTGTCTCCTCCGAGGCAGCGCCCAGCATCTCAACCACTCTTTGCCAGGATTTCGGAGGTCTCATTCTTGGCCAGACCTTTTGTCAGTCTGGGGGTGGGTGGTGTCCCTGCCCAGGCACCTTGCACCAGAAACCAGAAACCCCAGGTCAGTTCTGGTTCTGCTGTTATTCCATCCTGGAGTCAAGAGGCAACTCCCTGAGTCCTGTTACTTCAGCACTGAAATAGGCAGCTGTCCCCTGGAGCAGCTCTGTTTGTGACAGCTCCTTTAGCGCCTATCTCTGGAAGCTAGATAGCAGCACCTCTCAACATGTCCAGTGCCACAGCCCCATCTTTGCTTCTGGGGCTGGCATGGACGCTGCTTTCCCCCTCATTCTGGGCCTCATAAGGAAAGGATCTTGGAGCTGGGGTAGGCACTAATGGCTGGGACAGAAAGGGGGTGGACTGTTTCCTTCTGGGCTCACACAGGTCATAAGCACAGGTCATAATCTTGCAAGGACCTTTGCTAAGGAGGAGAATGGACTCAACTGAGTCAGATCATTGTCAGTCTTTCCCTCTGTACAATGTGGAGGAGTGTGCTATCTGCATCCCAGGAAAATGGTGATAAAATCAGACCCCCTTTTCTGGCCCTAGTTACATTTCTGACCTGGCGGCTCTGTTTATCCTGCCTTAGAGACCCTGCCTTCCCCCTCCATCTGTCCCAGCACACTGGGGCCTCCAGCCTTAGATGACCTGCTCTGGGCTCTCCAGTTACAGAGAACATAAAGTGACTTCCTTGAGGCTACAAATGGCTCTGCCTGAGTGGGCTGACAAGCAGAAGGGAAGCCAGCCGTGTTCTTTCTTTTGTCCTATTCTTTCTGGTTTTGACCCTCCCAGTGGCCTGGGGTAGTGATAAGGAAGGGTCAAGATTTGGATATGGGTGATGAGACAAGAACCAATCTTTTCTGACCAAGTACTTTCCTCTGTCTCTCTCAAAATTCACCTTCCCTGCATCTGGTGACCCATTCCCCTGTTCCTACTTTTCCATTGGGGTCAGCTGATGAAACACAGGTGGTAAGGAAGAGAAAAATTCTTAAGTGTGTGGATGGGAAATGAGAACATTCCAGTTGTGTTTTCCTCCATTATTCATTACACACACACACACACACACACACACACACACACACACACCAAAAAGACTTTCACTGAGAGGGCAGAACTAGTGGGAGAAATGATGAGAGAAAATGAATTGATTTGCAGGTAGAAGTTGGGCAAGCAAGGGTAACCATGGCTGGCCCCAGGAAAGGTCCTGAGGTTTTTTTTTTTTTTTTTTTTTTTTTTCTTTTTTTGGGGGCGGTGTTCTTTTTGAGACAGGGTCTACCTGTAGCCCCAGCTGACCTGGAACTCAGAGATCTGGCTGCCTCTGCCTCCCAAGTGCTGGGATTAAAGGCATGTGCCACCACACCCCTGCCTTCTTTCTTTTAGACTAAGAAAAGATAAAAATCTGGTGTTAGAATTTTTTTTTTTTTTTTGTCTTTATGAGACAGGGTCTCCCGTGTAGCCCCAGCTCACTCTGTAGAACAGGCTGGCCTTGATCTCACAGAGCTCCACCTGCCTCTGCCTGCAAGAGTGCTGGCACCACGCCTGGCTTTTATTCCCTCAGTACTCATGTCTTAGGTGCCTTTTGTACGCTTGGTATTGAGACAGAAAATGATCAAGTCCCTACTCCCATTTGGAGGAGTAAAGGTAGGAAGAAAGGACAGGAAAGACCAAAAAATGAACCAGGGTCAGTGGGTTCACTCACACCTGTAATCCCAGCTCTCAGAAAACCTAAGCAGGAGGACTGTTGAGAGATTATGTTAGCATGGGCTACGGGAGTGTGTTCTAGGACAGTCTGAGTTAGAGTGAGTCTGTGTCTCAAAAAAACCACTTTTAATCACAGCACTCTGGGGGCAGAGGGCAGGTGGATCTAGGTGAGCTAGAGGCCAGCCTGGTCTACATAGCTAGTTCCAGGCCACCCAGGCCTACATAATGAGACCCTGTCTCAAAATATCAACACAAAACCCAATCTCCTACCCGACCCAATAGGGCATATGCACATCTGTAATTCTAAAAGGATGGGGAGTTCGAGGCTAGCCTTAGCCACAGAGCGACACACCGTCTCAAAAAAAAGCTGAAAACGCAAAGTGGAAAACAATGTTATTATGGAAGTTACAAGACCAAAGAAGGAGACTGAGAAAGCTTGGCGAAGACAGTTGAGCCAGCCTGGATGGTGGAAAGGGGGGCTTTTTAGCATCGCCCTTCCCCCAGGTCGGCAGCTGGAGCTTAGCCCGGCGGGTCTGCTCCTCTCGTGGCTCGGATCCCCTTTCAGACCATTCATCCACGCCTGGACCCGGGGTGGGCGGGCAGACAATCAGACACTGTTTAATTGGTGCCTGTGGCTCCCAAGTCCTGATGGCGGGCACCGGGGAAAGGTTCTCTCGGGGCTCCTCGGGGACATAAGCATCTCTGTTGAGGTAAGTCGCGGCCGGAGGCTGACTGCCATTCCGCCGCAGGTAAGAGGCAGAAAGCATCCGCCTCTGGCAGGCCAGCCAACTCCTCCCCCGTCCCTGTTGATGGGATTTAGGGCATTGCCGCGAGGATTCGGCGTCCTGGCCTGGCAGTCGCGGACTACAACTCCCAGAAGGCTTCGCGAGCCCCGTCGGTGGCGGATCACACCTCCCGACCAAGGACAGGGGGTGGGTCGCAACCCGAAGTTCCAACCACCGTGAGGACATGGCGGACAGCGTTGCCGGAAGTTCCGGGAAGTAGGCCCAGACACTGGGCCGAGCTTCCGCGTCGGTCGCGCGTCTTCCTGTGGCTAAGATGGCGGCCGAGCATCCCGAGCCTCCTAAAGGAGAACTGCAGTTGCCACCGCCACCTCCAGGCCACTATGGCGCTTGGGCCGCCCAGGAGCTCCAGGCCAAATTGGCGGAGATCGGAGCTCCGATTCAGGGTGAGGCGCTTGGGAGTCGGGGGGCTGTGTGGCCTGCGGACAAGGGGAACCTGTTACCGAGGAGACCTGCGTGCGGGGGGCGGGGACCGCGGCTGGGCCCTGACCCTGCCTGGCGCGCCGGCTCCGTCCGGTCCTGACCCCCTGATCCTGTGCTTCACCCCACAGGGAGTCGCGAGGAGCTGGTGGAGCGGCTGCAGACCTACACCCGCCAGGTGAGCTGGGGCAGGCCTTCCGGACAGGCGGAACAGGCCGAACTCTCCCTGGTCCTTCACGACCCTTCCGGGAGGTCTCGGCCTTCGTTTATTTAAAAATATCTTTCTCAAGCCTGGTGTGGTGGCGCACGCCTGTAGTCCCAGCACTTGGGAGGCAGAGGCAGGCGGATTGCTGTGAGTTCAAGGCCAGCCTGGTCTACATAGTGAGTTCCAGGACAGCTAGGGCTACAGGGAGACCCTGCTTCAAAAAGACAAAAAAAAAAAATCTTTCTCTTTTCGGTGTATGCGTGTATTGTCTGCATGTGTTGTGAGTGCACCCGTGTCGTGCAAAGCCCACGGAGGTCAGGAGAGGGCGTCGGATCCCCTGGAACTGGAGTTACAGTTGTTAGCTGTCATGTGGGTACTGGGAATTGAACCCGAGTCCTCTGCAAGAGCAGCCAGTGCTCTTAACCGCTGAGCCATCCCTAGAGCCCTTGGTCTTCGTTTTTTATGTTTTATATAGCCGTTCTGTTAGTGCCTGCCTTTGTCTGTACTGTTGTGGTCACTTCCATCTTTGCACTGGTTCTCCGTCCGGGCCCCAAGTTCTGGCAAACAAGTGCTTGGTAGATTTTTTTTGCATGAACCGGAGCTACGGTGTTTGGTGGGGCAGCTTCTCTTGGACTGCTGGCTGTTCCCTTTTCTTTTGCAGACGGGCATCGTGCTGAATCGGCCTGTTTTGAGAGGGGAGGATGGGGACAAAGCTGCTCCCCCTCCCATGTCAGCACAGGTAAGGGTTGTTCCATTTTGCAGGATCCTTTCTGTTCGGGGTAGCATCTTACTGAAGATGCAGCTAGTAGAGCAGATGGGGCAGCAGGCACGCTGGATGGAGTCTTGGGAGACAGGATTGGGACCTCTTCCTTCTGACTTGGTGCTGATATTTGCCTTCTTCCCCAGGGTCTCCTCCAAATTTGACCTGCCATGCAAAATTCAACTTGAATACCTAGAAATCATGCTTAGTACTCTCCCAGGTGGAGATACTCACCTTCCTTGGGGGAGCATAGCTCCCAATGTTAGTTCAGTGAGACACTGAGCGACAAGGTCCTGATTTGATTACAGACCACCTGTATTTAGTAACTCATTGGCATTTACAGTACCCTGGCACACAGGTTCCTATTTCCTCAAGCCCCTACAGAATCCAGAATTTTATTCTCTAAAGTATCTAAATTTGACTTGGGGGTATATTGATCTGTGTGTGTGGTATAGATAGACTCTTTGGGTTTTTATTTTTAAGATTTTATGTGTATGAGTGTTTGCTTGCATGTATATATGTGTACAATGTGTGTATCTGGTGCCTACAGAGGCCAGAAGAGGATCTCTGACATTGGAGTTACAGTCGGTTGTGAACTGCTATGTGGGTACTGGGAACCACACTCAGTTCCTCTGAGAGAGCAGCAGGTGCTCT